GAACATAGCGGTTTAGTGAAACACGCTCATATTCATGGGTCTGAGTATGATTTTCCTGCAAAACATTGACGTTAGGGTGACTCAGATGAGTCCTCGGTCTGTATGAAGCTTTTGGACCATATGAAGCCTTTGGTATGGGGTTTGTCTTCTTCACAGGTGGTGTCATGATGACATTCACGGGAAGATTCTCAAGACAACTTTTGGGTACCCATATCTTCTTCATAGGTGGCCCATTCCTGCAGTTAGTACCAATGTACCTGGCAAACACTTCACCATTCTGATTTTTAAACAATTTATAGTTTGCATGAAAGGATTCATTAATGATAATAGGGTTAGCACAAGTGAAGCCAGATAAGGAGGATGGATCCACTGAAGGTTCCTTTGCAGCAACCCAGGTGGTTTTGGGGTACTGCTCAGGCTTCCAGTACGACCCATCAACATTCATTTTTCTCTCAAACCCAACACCCTCTTTTCTAGGGTTTCGGTTCAGAATCTGCTTTTTGAGGACATCACATAATGTCTGATGCCCTTTGAGGCTTTTGTACATCCCTGTCTCAAGCAGTGTCTTCAACCTGGCATTCTCATTAGCAATAGTAGTGGTATCCTCAACAGAGGGGTTAGTTACCACATCAGCAATTGAAGATATCTCAACAGTAGTAGAAGTAGAACATTCAGCAACAGAGGCAGCGTTATCACACTCAATGCATTTTAGACATGGTGGTTCAAATCCTTCCTGAGCGGAACTGATCTGTTGAGCGCGGAGTGACTCATTTTCCTTTTCAAGATCTTCATGATCCGATCTCAATTTTTCGAGTTCCTGCTTCCTTTGAAGATAATCATAGGAGAGCTTTTCATGAGATGTTGAGAGCGTTTCATGACGACCTTCAAGTTCCTGGTACTTAACATGAAGATTTTTTATGTCTTCAATTAAGGACTGAGTCTTAGTCATTTCCGCGTCCAACAGGTCATCGCTTTTGTCTAACAATTTTTGAATATGTTCCATAGCTTTCTGTTGTTCAGTTGCAATTTTAGCAAGTTTTTTGTAGCTAGGTTTGGATTCACCATCAGAGTCATTTTCACTTGATGTTTGAAAGTAAGCATCGCGAGAGTTTACCTTGGCACCATGTGCCATGAAGCAGTAGGTGGGAGCCGAGTCGTTCTCGTCATCAATGTTGGTGACGGAGCCATTGTCTTCAGTGTTGAAGATGGACTTGGCGACGTAAGCTGTAGCTAGAGCCAGACTTGCGACACCAGAGTCGGACTCCTCCTTAGACTCCACCACCACCTCCTCAGAAGCAGACTCCTCCTCTGAATCCATTTCCTTGCCAACAAAAGCACGTGCCTTGCCTGATGAGCTCTTCTTGTGTGATGAAGACTTGGAGGAAGATTTGGAAGAAGACTTTGAAGATTTCTTCTTCTTGTCACCGGAATCATATTCTTTGCTCTTCTTCTTCTTCTTCTCATTGTCCCACTATGGACATTCAGAGATGTAGTGGCCAGATTTCTTGCACTTGTGATAGGTTCTTTCTTGTTGTCATGGGTGGAAGCTTCATCATACCTTGAGCTGGATCGTGAAGACTTTCTGAAGCTTTTCTTCCTAGTGAATTTCTGGAACTTCTTCACAAGCATAGCAAGCTCCTTTCCAATGTCTTCAGGATCACTAGAACTGTAGTCAGATTCTTCTCCAGATGAGGAAGCGACTGCCTTCGCCTTCAAAGCGCGAGTTCGGCCATAGTTGGGGCCATAGATATCTCGTTTCTCAGATAGCTGGTACTCACGTGTGTTAATCCTCTCAAGTATGTTCGACGGATCGAGTGTCTTAAAATCAGGGCGTTCTTGTATCATCAGGGCTAAGGTGTCAAATGAGCTGTCAAGAGATCGCAGTAGTGTCTTCACTATTTCATGCTTCGTAATGTCAGTTGCACCGAGTGCACGGAGCTCATTTGTGATATCCATGAGGCGATCAAATGTATGCTGGGCGTTCTCATTGTTGTGTCTTTTGAAGAGATTGAAGAGGTTGCGGAGAGTACTGATTCGTTGATCTCGCTGAGTTGAGACGCCTTCATTGACTTTGGAGAGCCAGTCCCAGACTAGCTTCGACGTTTCCATAGCGCTCACACGGCCATACTGCCCTTTGGTCAGATGACCACATATGATGTTCTTGGCTGTAGAGTCCAGTTGAATGAACTTCTTGATATCAGCAGGGGTGACACCTTCACTAGTCTTGGGACGCCATTCTTGACGACATACCACAGATCGACATCAATGGTTTCAAGATGCATGCGCATCCGATTCTTCCAGTAGGGATATTCAGTGTCATCGAAGATGGGGCACGCATCGGAGACCTTGATTATCCCTGCAATCGACATAGCTAAAACTCCAGGTGGTTAAACCGAATCACATAGAACAGGGGAGTACCTTGCTCTGATACCAATTGAAAGGGCTAGTTATTGACTAGAGGGGGGTGATAGGCGATTTTTATGAAAGTCTTTAAAACATGGGAGTTTCGAAGACAAACAGCAGAAACAACACTATTCGTAAGCAGCAGAAGGTAGACTACACTAGACACGCCATAGTCAAGTATTCAATAATGTGAAAGCACGAAGACTATTAGCAGCTAGGTAGTAAAGATCATGGTGGAAGATAGTATGAAGGCAATCAAGACAAGTAGTCACATAGTGAAGTCAAACAGATTATGCAAGCAGGCAATGACTTCACGAAGACAAACTGTAAGTAAGGAGAAGTGAGAGATAGAACCAGTAGCTTCAGGAAGACAGTGGTTTGTTCGACCAGTTCCAGTTGCTGTGACAACTGTACGTCTGGTTAGGGAGGCTGAAATTTAACTCAGAAGACTGTGTCTTCACCTTATTCCCCTTGAGCTAAGGACTCTCAATCCCCGCCCAATCACTCTGGTAAGTCTTCAAGGTAGACTCCCAAACCTTCACAGACTTCGTTCACCGGCAATCCACAATGACTCTTGGATGCTCAGAACGTGATGCCTAACCGGCTGGAGGATTCACAGTCCTCAAGTGAAATAAGTCTTCAGATCACGCGGACAGAAGGACTTAAGTGATGCCAAACTCTCTTTGGCTCTGGGTGGTTTGGGCTTTGTCCTCGCAAAGATTCTCTCTCAAAGGCTTCGGAGGTGGGTTGCTCTCAAACGACAAAAGCCGTATACTAACTCTGAGCAGCAACCAATTTATGGTGTAGGGGGTGGGCTATTTATAGCCACTGGGCAACCTGACCTAGTTTGTCCGAAATGACCCTGGGTCACTAAGGAACTGACACGTGTCGCAATGGTTAGATTTCAACCACACGCGGCAGCTTGACTTGGGCTACAAGTAAAGCTGACTTATCCGAATCTGGATAAGATTTTGTGCTCATTGTCTTCGCTCGAAGACATAGGATTTGGTTGAATATCACTTCACTCACTCTGACTTTGTTCACTTGGACCCCACTTAACAGTGTGGTGGTTCTTATGACTCAACAAAGAAGAAAAGAAACAACGAAACAACTAAGTCTTCGCGCTACATAGTCTTCAGACATTGTCTTCTCATGTGATAGTCTTCAACGTGATTAGCTTCACAGACCACCATTGTCTTCAATGTCTTCACTCATTTTTAGGGGTCATCTCCGGTAGGTAAACCGAATCAATGAGGGACTACTACATGTGTTATCCTGCACTTTTCACAAACAAATTAGTCCCTCAACCAGGTTTGTCGTCAATACTCCAAAATCAACTAGGGGTGACACTAGATGCACTTACACCTCGTCTCCGAAGCTGTTGTTAGAGTGGCTGTCGGTGCTCGACATGCTGGCTGGCGCTAGGCATTGGATGGATCGTAGAAATGGGAGTGTCGGGGAGCGAAGCGAAGTGAGCTAGGGTTTTTTCCGGATGGGAGATTTTGTGGTGTCGGGGTGGGTCAGCGGTGGGCCGGGCTGACGTGGCGGACACGTTCGGCACGTCCGGGCCGCCTCATATCCGTCCTACATTTGAAACAGATATGAGATGTGTCCGTTAGTTCGGACATTTGAGGCCCGTTTGAGTGGTCTGGTTGGGTCGATTTTTTATGACTGTGAGTGACCGGACGACCTGTCCGAGCGTTTGAGACGGATATAGGGCTTCCGGCCATAGATGCTTTTATGCAACTCTTTGTAAGGGCTTTCGTATTTGTAGTGTTATTGGTCGTCAATCAGCACGTCTGAACCCGTGGCTTCCGGCCGTAGAACTCAGTGAAGTCGACCCTGGTAATCCAGTGGTGTTTGCATTCGTACGAAAGTACCGAAAGCTTAGTAGCATAGTTTAACATATTTTCTCAGAAAACATAGCTTGTATGGTTGTTTTTGTTTTTCTTTAACATAGTACGATCGTTTATCCTGATGAACGCATACATATACACGCCCTGTTCTATAAGGGTCCTCGAGATATTGCTAGCACAACATGTTGAGTTTGACGAAGTTCTTATGAGGGCCTCACATAGAATGTAACCTCACTGAAAAGTGTAGGACTTTAACCTAGTGGACTAGTTCCACCAAACCAACAAAAAACTCGGTAATTGCCTTTGGCTCCTAGGTACATATGCACCCATTGTCGAAATACACATTTCGAAAAGTTGAAAAATTCGAAACAAAAATCCCACATATATATCCGGACATTTTATGTGCGTTCACAAGATTTCGGTGAAAAACAACGTTTTTTGTGGCTTGTATAAAAAAATAAAGAAATGCCTCGTGAATAGTTAGAATGAAGCATCAGAAATTATCTTTTTTATACAAGCCACAGAAAACATCGTTTTTCACCGAAATCTTGTGAACGCACATAAAATGTCCGAGTATACACGTGGGATTTTTGTTTCGAATTTTTCAACTTTTCAAAATGTGTATTTTGACAATGGGTGCATATGCACCTAGGAGCCAAAACACCGCGTCCAAAAAAACTGAGCTACACCCAATTCTCTATAGCCTCCCTTGTTCACATAGTAGTTTGCCACAAAGTACTCCTACCACGTCGGCCAAAAAAACAAAAACACCCTGTTACGTACAATACACAAATGCGTCGGCACAGAGCCGGGGATAGAAACACCAGCTGAACCAACAGGCAGTGCTCAGCTCAGTAGCCGCCGTCGTTCACGGGGAAAGCGTACGGCAGGTCGTCGTCCACCGGCACGTCGCTGAACCCGTCCCCTCCGGTGTAGAACCCAGTGAAGTCGACCGCGGGTTCCCCCACGAAGGCGTCCTGCATCTGGACTTCCCCGTTTAGGAGCAGCCGCGGCTTCTTGGTCTCCGCGCCCTCGCCGGGGAATAATCCGGCGTCGGTACTCGAGTTGCCTACGAGGCGGCGCAGCACGTCTGGGTCTCGGACGACCTTGACGAGGAAGGCGAGCATCAGCTTGGGCTGGCGCTCGGCGTCCTGCACCCGGCGCCACATCGTCGCCAAGCGGTCCTCGGTGGCTCTCTGCTCCTGCTTCAGCCGGACCACCTCCATGGCTAGCATGGTGCTGCTGGTGTCCTCATCCTCCCCCTCGTTGTCGTCCTTGGAAGGACGGGTAGTGCTCCGGCGCCGGACGATGCGGGGCAAGAGGTGTGTCTGGCCGCGGAGGAAGGAGGCGTGGGCAAACTCCCACCGGTCCGGGTCGACCTTGCGGAAGCCGTAGGTGTTGAGCTGCCGGACGAAGCTGGAGAAGTTGGAGTGCTTGAAGTGGGCCGGGAGCAGCATCTCTGAGAAGGCGAAGGGGTCGGCGACGACGAAGCTGTTGCTGGCCGGCCCCCACGCCACCAAGGCGTCGGTCTCCGGCTCGTCCACCATCATGTACGTCTTGCCCACGAACGGCGCCACCATGCCGCCGCCGTCGCTCCCCGAGCACTCCATGCCGGCACTGCTCATCTTCGACTCGTGACAGCAAGAAAGAAGAGAAAGCAATACTGGTGCCACGAATGAGGAATGACTTGTGATGTGAGAGTGGCAGCCGAGCTATACATATACTCCATGGATGACCACGAGCAGGGAGGCGTGATGGGACAGCTGCCAGGTCCTCCGTGTGGACGCGTGTCTGCGCTGGGTGGCGTCCCCACGTGAGGCCAAAAGATCGAATCTTGATACGTGTCCTTCCCTGGCGATGAATCATCCCGCTGTCAAGTGTAAGCCTCCTTACATTTAATCGAAAGCCGCCCTGTCAACATCTTGCATACGTTAGTTAACTACTACTCCCTCTGTAATCTAATATAAGAGCATTTAGATCACTAAAGTAGTAATTTAAACACTCTTATATTAGTTTACGGAGGGAGTAGTAATTAACTACTAATAGTAGAGCGTAGTGTGACCCGATGGGCCCAAATACGTGCCTCTTCCTTCTTGGATGAGCAAATATAGAAACACGATCTTGGACCTCTATTGTCTATGCGGCGTAGGCGACACTCCTTCTGCCAAACAAAGCGGCAACAAGTGGTAGAAAAATGTATAGAAACAATCTAACGTGTGGACAGGGGCACCACGTCCGGGGGAAAATATTAAAAAGGGTTGGTTGATGGGATACAAAATGGAGCGGTTCGACTTGCTGAGCTCGGCGCTGATGAAAATGGCAGCTCCCCTCCCCGGCTGATTGGTTGGTGCAAAATTTCAGGACTAGCTTTGTCGCGTGCCGGACAACTCCACCGTGCCGATTCAAACGGTTGATTTGTCCGTTTTTCATACGTTTGGGTCGGCTGCCCGTTCGGCATCCACCTTTTTTAAGACTAGTGGTTGGGGCCAGCCATTGCGGGCCGCTTGAGAGGAAGCTATGCGCACCTCACCATCATGTCAGTTTTTTAAAAATATAATCTTGCATCACGTGGACATCACAGCCATCTTAAAAGAAAAGAAAAAGCCTAGAAAAAATTTTCTTGAAAAAATGTCTCGCTACCATTCAACAATTCTAAAAAAAAATCTCATCGTGACCAACCAACATGCGTCATATGGCGTAGCTGGTTGGCCACCACTCCAGCGCCTCTTAATGGGTTTAATTTGAATCGGTAGTGCGTCCAACGGCCGCGGCCCATTTCATGTTCGCACGCAAATTTCAAAAAAGGCCTGCGACCGTATATCATGTCAGTGGCCATGTCATAGCGTGAAGTTCATGCCGGCACCATGCCGGCGACTGCATACAATGCCAGCTTCAGAAAAATAACACACTGTTCAACTGGCGCAATTGCCAGCTGCCCACACACAAAAAGGGGCGGGAGAGTTCGACCACGCCATCGCGGCCATGGTCATTGCCAGCACACTTGCCGGCATACAGAAAAGGAGGGCGCTCGCCGCCATAGATTACTCGTCGTCATATTTGTGCATGTCGGCCTGCATCTTCTCGAACAGTGGCATCTCCCTTGACGACACATTGTTGAGATCCACCTTCAGGATCTTCATCCCCGTCATCATGCTCGCGAGAGCCACTTCTTTCGCCTTGGTCTTGGCGTTGGCGGCCTCGATCTCTAACATCTTGACTTACTTCTCCGCCTCCATCTTCAGCATCTTGGCTTGCTTCACGCCTCCATGTCAAGGCTCCTTCTTTAGATCTTCATGAAGGCGTTTATTTGTTCTTCCTTAGATCACCGACGCTCCTCCTCCCTCGAGTCCTTTTTGGTCATCATGCCATCCACGCTTGCGATAAAGGCGTTCGTGACCGCATCCTCTTGTCCTTCTTCTTGGAGTTGGGGCAGTTTGATTCTTGACCTGGGTTGCATGCCTGACAGAAAGTTATGCCTGAATGTAGCCTGAAGAGCAGTTATTTTTCTGCCTCATCAGGCATGCCTGACTGTGAAGCGTTTGGTTGGTGGCCTCGCGCCTTGGTTTGAGAACAACACGTGAGACGAAAAGGTGTACTAGATCAAACTAAAGAACATCACATCACATGCTAATCAGTAGTCCCAGGCTGCTGCTGCTTTCGCCTGGCAGGCATGGAAATAAGAACGCCTGGCCCAGGCTAATGAACTTGCCCGGCATCAAGCCAGGCTAATCAAGTTAGATTTTACGTCCAGGCCAGGCTGCTTCACACTTGTCCTGGACAGCAAGCAAACAACTACCAGGCACATCTCAGGGAGGCTCCAGGCCAGGCATCTAGTCGCGTGGACGCGATCCAAACTGGCTCTTGGTCTTCCCCCGTGGCGATGGCTTCTAGCCGTTTTCCTCCTTCACGGCCTTCTTCCCCACGCTACTTGAGGGTGGTATATTGTGCCTTAAACTTTTTCTCGTCTTTGATGACCCTCCAACAATGAAAGAGGTTGAAGCACTTGCCATCGTGTTGGAGCTTGAATGCCTCCAAAGCTTGAAATGCCTACAAATTAATTCCATGCAAGCATATTGGCAAATGGATATGAAAATGGACATGCAAGAATAAACGGAATGACACAAAGAGGGCCGCTTGCTAGCATACCATGTCTTGCATGCCGATGCCGCTAACGGGGCGACCCTTGACGCTCTCAAGAGTGGCACAAAACTTGTTGCACTCTTGTTGGATCACCTTCCAACGCTTTGAAATGGGCACCCACCCGCGCGTGTTTTGCATTTGGTACGGCGGAAACTTCTTGCGCTCATGGTACTCACGATGGACACGAGTCCAAAAGGTCGAAGCCTTTTGTTTGGCGCCGGTCTTGGGGTCTTGCCCAATGTCCCTCCAACAATCACAAAGAAAGTTGTCCTCGGCCGCCGTGTATGCCTTCGTCCGCCTGCTCTTGCGCTTCGGCTTCCCCCCGGCGGCTTGGTTGGCGAGCTCGTCCTCGAACAAAGGCTCCCCTTCGATGTCACACTCATCCTCTTCCTCGAGTCCGTAGTCCTCCTGAAACTCGTGGTCGAGCGGGAAGCTTTCCAGGTCCACGCCGACCTGGTCATGCATGAAGGCAACCTGATCTTGATCAAAGATGGATGGCGTGAATGGCCCTCGGCCGTCCAGCCCCGGTGGCACCGCCAGCGACCGACGCACCACCCTCGAAGATGATGTTTTGTATGTAGTCATTCCATCGAACAGGTTGCGTGCGCCCGGCAGCACGTCCGCTGGCATCTGCTGCGCGTGTTTCCTCGCCCATCTGGATGACGAGCTACCGGCCACCGCTGTGGCGCTGAGGTCGATGCGCGCGGGCACGGGCGTGGAAGGCGGCACCACGCTCACCTTGGGCGAGCACTCCCCGGAGAGTCGGGGAGGCCTGCGGGTAGATGTGGAAGCCGGGCATCGGCTGCGTCGCCGACGCGCGGGGCGAGTAGGGCAGCACTATTCGAGCAAACGCAGATGAGCCGGTGCTGGCCACGGCTACGGTGGCATTGATGAGGCCGTACTGTCCAGGGTTTAACCCTAGGTACATCAGCACCTCCCTCATTGTCGCCGTGACGCGGGCGTTGGTGGCTTCCTGCTGCGCGGCGGCGGCGATGGCCGCCGCCGCGATGGCTTCCTCCCTCGCTTTCGCCGCATGCCTCCGGCCCTTTCTCTTCGCTGACTCCCTTGCTCGCTCCTCAGACGTCAGCTTCTTCTTTGCCTTGGGTGCGGCGGCGGTCTTGCGGGAGGCACGAGGCTTGCCTTTGCCGGAGCGGGCGGACGTGATGCCGGACGAGGCGAGGCCGGCGGCGGCATCGAGGTCGGCGTCCATGCCGAGCAGCGGGAGCGCGCGCGGGCGGGAGGGTTTTGGGGAAAATAAAGGGAAATGATGGAGGCAGCCACCGACCAGCTGGCCGGGGAGGAGTAGACGGGTGCGCGCGCGTCCATTTCGTTTTTGCGCCGACGTAAATCCGTCTCAAAAACAGGCCGAGAATGGGTCAGCAGACGGACGAAAAGCGGACACGCGTCTATTTTAATCGGCGCGTTGGGCCGACTTTTCTGTGTGCGCGCAAACGAAATGGGTCGCCGCGTTGGAGTTCCTCTGAGGTTGACGTGCGACCACGCACGCGGTCCCTGACGATACGGCTAGCTCGACCGACTCATCTACCATTGGGGCTAGTAAGTTGCCACCAACTGCGCAACGGTGGTCCAGGCTAATTCCTATAGAGAAAAAAAAGAGAAAGGAGCTAATGATTGAACTGTTGTTTCATTGATTGAAAGTTGAGGTATTTATACCCCAATACAAGGCGGTTATGATGGAGGCGGTTGCCGAAACATGGCCACTAACATACTTCTTCCTTTCCGGTTTATAGGGCTTATCTTAAAATTTTAGTTTTTCCATTTTATGAGGCTCAATTTGGTTGTTTTCCATCACATGTTCAGATTTTAAGGTGCATTAAATCATTGCATGCAAGTGTTAAGAGAAAATTGACCAATGCATGTACTTTATGCATGCATGCATTGCAATTAATGCATTGATAAACACAATTTTTTTAAAAAAACAAGAGTATTAATTAGGTGCTTTTGCAAACTACAAAAAATATTCCACCACTCACCATCTAGGTGAGATTTTTGAATTGAGCCCTATAAAACGGAAAGAAGGGAGTAGCATAGATCAACATTTAATTTGCCTAATTAATTAATTCCTAACACCCCGCTAATCAATGCTTCTCTTTGTCAATATATATCATCTTGATAACTCCTCCTCCTAGTATATGTTTGCCTTTGGAATGGTCATCATCGGATATGTTGCTAAAACTTCATTAAACCCAGTGGGGAAAATAAGAAGAAGAAAATTATGCAACATTTAATGATTATTGTTTTTTGGTAACTCATATAAGGTGTATTACTTTTTTGAAAAGTCAAAATGTTAAAGTTTGATCTAATTTTAGAGAAATATATCAAAATCCATAAATATCAAATCGGCATGATTAGGTTCATCATGAAATGAATTTTGACTTTGCTTAATATTGTGGATGTCTATATTTTTTGCTCTGAACTTGGTAAATGTTATAGAAATTCGATTTTCTAAAAAACTAATAACCTTTATTTCTTGAACAGATGCAATTTAGTTTGCCGGGTGCGGGAGATGATGGAGTGTATTTTATTCTCATATATAATGTGGTGATTTGGTGGCTGTTGTGTCGTGGTTCTGTGTTATCCTCTAGCAACCTATATTTATGTGGAAAAATTTCAGTGTCGGTGATTGCATGTAACATATTTGTGCTATAGTATTACATGGTGACATTTCATTTTTTTTAGGTGATGGGAAAGTGCACGGGGTTGATATATTTTTATACGCCGTCTGATTTGGAAACTTATTGTCCCGGTCAAAATCGTCAACCAAATCTTAAATTGAATACGCAATAGAATAAAAAATCTTCAAAATTGAGAAATTGAATTAAAAGAATCGAATAGGCGAGCTCCTTGAGAAATTATATACCGAGTCAAAATCAAGTGATCAATTCTGAATTAAATAGCTCAATTAATTTTGTGGCCTTAAAGTTAGAAAGCATGGTATATAGCATAATAGTATTAAATGAGAAAGCATGAAAAAATTATTGACTCGGCTATAATCAGATGACCCAATTCCTATTGAAGACCCCAATTGAATGTGGCCTTTTTAAAACTTAGAACTATAGTGTTGTAGTGAAAATTGCTTTCGGAGCTCGGTGTTAATGGAGGCCTGTTTTTGCAAAAAAGAAAAAAAAATTGAAATTCAAAAAAATACATTTTTCACACTGCGATTTTTAAAAAAAATATATAGGCATACAAAGACGCATAACATGTATGTGTGTAAATTTTTAGGACGAAATATGTTGAAATGAGGGCTATGTAGGAAAGACAAATCAGTTTTTTTGCACAGGTTCAGGTATTTCCTTATGAAAATTTACATACACATCACGTCCTTGTGTACTTTTACCCTTTTTTTGGATTTTTTTGCAAAAAAAAAGTATAAATTACCGCATAGTATTTTGTAGCTTTCCTTGTTCACATACTGTTTGCCACAAAGTACTCCTACCACGTCGTCTAAAAAACAAACCTCCTACTAAGTACAGTACACACATGTGTCGGTGAAACACCCTCTAATCGAACCGAACTCAGTAGCCGGTGTCCACACGGAAAGCGTACGGCGGGTCGTCCACCGGCACCTCGCTAAAGCCATCGCCTCCGGTGTAGAAACCAGTGAAGTCGACCCTGGGTTCCCGCACGAAAGCCTCCTGCCGGTTGATGCCGCACAACATCCCGTCGCCGTCGATGCGCATCTTCTTGCCGACCTGGGCTTCCCCATCGAGAAGCAGCCGCGGCCTCTTGGCCTCCGCGCCCTCGCCGGGGAACAATCCGCCGCCGCCACCCGAGTTGCCTACGAGGCGGCGCAGCACGTCGGGGTCTCCGACGACCTTGAGGAGGAAGGCGAGCATGAGCTTGGGCCGGCGCTCGGCGTCCTGCACCCGGCGCCACATCGCCGCCAGGCGGTCCTTGGTGGCCCTCTGCTCCTCCTTCAGGCGGACCACCTCCATGGCCAACATCTTGCTGCTGATGTCTTCATCCTCCTCCTCGTCGTGGCTGTCCTTGGCGCGCCTGCCGCCGCCGGTGCGGCGCCGGACGATGCGGGGCAGGAGGTGCGTCTGGCCGCGGAGGAAGCAGGCGTGCGCGAACTCCCACCGGTCCGGGTCGACCTTGCGGAAGCCGTAGGTGTTGAGCTGCCGGACGAAGCTGGAGAAGTTGGCGTGCTTGAAGTGGGCCGGGAGCAGCGCGCGCGAGAAGGCGAAGGGGTCGGCGACGACAAAGCTGTTGCTGGCCGGCCCCCACGCGACCACGGCGTCGGTCGCCGGGTCGTCCACCATCGCGTACGTCTTGGCCACGAACGGCGCCACCATGCCGCCGTCGCTCCCCGAGCACCCCTTGCCGGCGCCGCCGGTGCTCATCTTTCACTCGCGATTGGTCTAGTGCCACGAATGAGGAATGACTTGTGATGTGAGAGTGGTAGCCGAGCTATACATATACTCGCGCAGGGAGGCGTGATGGGACAGGTGACAAGTACGAGCGGACGCGTGTCCGCGACGGGGAGCCCTGCGTGGCGTCCCCTCGTCAGGGCAAAAGATCGATCCTGATACGTGTCGCTCCCCGACGATGAATCAGCCCGCTGTCAACTGTCAGCCTCCTTATTTTTAATCGGAAGCCGGCCTGTCAACATCTGCATGCATACGTTAGTTAACTAGTACTAAATGTGGAGCGTAGTGTGACCCTCGGGCTCATCAGTGGGCCTCAATACGTGCCTCTTCCGTCTTGGATGAGCAAAGATAGAAACAATATATCTTGGACCTCGATTGTCGCGTATCTACAAGTGGTATTCAAGCTTTCCGTTTCTTTAGTGTAGAAAATGTTCTCTTGCCTCTTTTGGCGACTAAAGAAGCAATCTGACGAGTGGACAGGGGAAGAACACCACGCACGGCGCTGATGGAAACATTAAAAAGGGCTGGTTGATGGGATGCAAAATGGAGCGGTTCCACCTGCTGCTGAGCTCGGCGCTGATGAAAGTGGCAGCTCCCTCTCCCCGGCTGATTGGTTGGTGCAAAATTTCCGGATTTAGCTTTGTCGCGTGCCTGAGGCCGACGTGCGACCACGCACGCAGCCGGTCCCCGGAGTTGAATGACTGAACTCATCGCACCCTTGTATTCACATATCACAGGGGTATTTATACATGCAGAGGTACAAGGGGGTGAGGGAGAGAACGTGTACAAGGCCGTGGCCGAGCATGCCGTGCATGCGAGGTGGGCGTGCCCACGAAGTGCACGAGCCTGTTGAACTGACGGAGAGAAGAGGTCAAGGCCGTTGGCCCTCTGCTGGTGTGCGTGTAGTAGACTTCCAACACCCGGCGATACGGCTACGTCGATCGGCTCATCCGCCATCTGGGGTTGTACGTGGCAACCAACTGCGCCCTGGTGGTCCAGGCTAATTCCAAACGTACCATCGACGTTGCCGTCATCTGCGGCCGCATACAACATATCTGACCGACTATACATTGGCGGAAGCACTTCTTTCGTCAACAGTTTTTTCTTAAAAAACCTTCCTATCTATCCCTCTTCGATCATGATAGTACATCGAACACTAAAAACAATATTTACATCCAGATTCGTAGACCATCTATCAACGAATATAAGTATTAAAGCTAGCCGGAGCCGAGTGTCGGTGTCAAAACCGACGGATCTCGGGTAGCGGGTCTCACGCTGTGGATCTAGCCTCAATGGGGAACAAGGGACGAAAAACACGATGTTTATCCAGGTTTGGGCCCTCCCGAAGAGTTAACACCCTATGTCCTGCTTTGTTGAATTGATGTGGATGGTATGATTACAGAGTCGATCTACCACGAGATCAGATGAGCTAAACCCTAGGCTAATGGGGTATGGGAGTTGCATTTGGCCCCAAAGGCTAAAACCCTCTGGTTTATATAGACACCAGTAGGGCTAAGGTTACATGTATAGTTAGTTACAACAATAGGAAGATCATGCTAAGTCTTGACTTGGAGGACACACCAAGGCTTCGGAGGTCTTCAATCCGGTCACGGGTCCACACCCTAGCTCGGCTCCGTAATTGCCCACCAGTCTGGTCCATAGGGAATAGGCAGCGTCCCGAGGACCCCTTAGTCCAGGACTCCCTCGATAGCCCCCGAACTAACCTCCAATGCCGAGGTTTATGTTTGGCATCCGCATATCCCACAGTCCTCGGCTTGCGAGGTGAGTTCTTCATCATATCCTGTAAGCGCTCAGAATCGATTGGTATCCGGAATCCGGAGTATCGGCTTTACTTTGCCCCGAAGGACAAAGTGCCTTATTGTTAACAGTATTTTTGTCTGACAGCCATCGACGAAGGGTCACAACAGGCTATAATGCCATACCGCTGATATGCCTCGATACGCGACTCGAGGCTGCCCCTCCATTGGCATGTCTCATTAAGGTGGAGATAGTGTCCCGCCTTTTGGGGGATATGGTTAATCATTTCGATCGTCCCACCCGCACATAATGTCATGAGTACATCGGGAAGTGGAGGAGCCCGCGTCACAGAAAAAGGGGACCCTTGGTAACCCATAAAAGGGGAGAAGCCATTGCTATCGGCCCACTCCTTCTTCCATCTCTTGCCGTTATTTCTCCAATCTCCAGAGCTCCAGTGCCCCGCTTTATCTTTTCATAGAAAAGCCCCTTTCCAGCCTCTCCCTTGCTCCCGCCATGGCCGGATCCGGCGCGAATGGCAAGTGGGAGGCCTCCACCATCACCAATGGTGATATCGAGGAGGTGAAGCGAGCTGGCTACTTGCCGACCAACGTCGTTCATCGATCCCCCGAGGAGGGCTAGGTTATTCCCACCCCACGGCCAGGAGAGGGGGTATTATTCATCCCTCATTTCTTCCCGGGGCTAGGGTTTCCATTTGAAAGTGCATTATATCGACTAGAGGGGGGGGGGTGAATAGGCGTTTTTTATGAATTCTTCACTGAGGAATTTGCCGGTGAGGAAATTCCTTAGCGAAGAACTACTAGCAGCGGAATAAGTACTCAGAAGTAAGCATGACAGAATACACACATGGTCATCATGATGAAATGAAGACAAGCACAGAGTACAGAAAGCGTAAACACATGATAACACAAGATGAAGACAAACAGACTGAAGAAATTGAACTGAGGAAATTGAGAAAGCCTTCAGTCAAAGTCTTCAAACACAGATATGAACAATCACTCAACACAGTAATGAGGAAATGAAAGAGTTGAGGAAATAGAACCAGTAGGGTTGGTGAAGACAATGATTTGGTAGACCAGTTCCAACTGCTGTCTCAGTTGTACATCTGGTTGGAGCGGCTGAGTATTTAAACTCGAGGACACACAGTCCCGGACATCCAGTCGCTGAGCACGCAGCTCAGGACACCAAGTCCTCACCGTATTCTCCTTGAACTAAGGTCACACAGACCTCGTCCAATCACTCGTGGTAAGTCTTCAGGCGACTTCCAAACCTTCACAGACTTTGGTCACTCGGCGATCCACAATTCCTCTTGGATGCTCTAGACCATGATGCCTAATCGTCTGGAAGAAGCACAGTCTTCAAAGGTAACAAGCGTCGGATTCACGCAGGATCAATCTCTTCAGTGATGCTCAATCACTTTGGGTTTGTGGGTGTTTGGGTTTGGATTTTCCTCACTCGATGATTTTCGCTCAAAATCCTCGGAGGATGGGTTGCTCTCAAATGACAAGTGTCAGTTTCTCTCGGAGCAGCCAACCAGCTAGTGGTTGTAGGGGGGTGCTATTTATAGCCTAGGGAGCAGCCCGACATGATAAGACATAAATGCCCTTCAATGATATGACCGTTATGTGGATAAGATATTTTGGGATAGCTGGGGCGTAGCACAGCAATGGTCGGAAATTTGACTCTCAAATTCCTCGGGGCTATCATGTTCCTCACTGTGTAGGCAATTCGCACTAGCGAATTCCTAACTCCTCAGTCAGAACAAATTCCTCAGTGACCAGAAGAACTTCGTCTCTGTCTCTAGAGAAATTGACTGAACTGTATGAGATTTCCAATGGCTTCACTCGAAGGGATTGGTAGGTGTAGGATTTTGAGTTGAGCATCACATGGAAATTTTTCCTTAGTATTTCCTAGACCCCCTTCAACAGTACGATGTTTCCTATGACTCAAGAAAGAGAAAAACAAAACTATGAAAACGAAAGTCTTCAAGCTTCACATTCCTCGCATGAATATCAAGTCTTCACGGACACACCAATTTCTTCACTTTCAAAGTCTTCATGAAAGTCTTCAAAAATACCAGAATGTCGAAGATATTCATTTTTATGGGTCGACTTTCTCTGTAAATATCAAACTCCTCATAGACTTATAGACCTGTGTACACTCATAAACACATTAGATCCTTAATCTATAAGTCATCAATACACCAAAATCACTAAGGGGCACTAGATGCACTTACAATCTCCCCCTTTTTGGTGATTGATGACAATATAGGTTAAGTTTTCAACGGGGATAAACATATGAAGTGTAAGTACTGATATTGAGGAATTTGATAGCAAGATATAGAAGAACTCCCCCTGAAGATGTGCATAGTGAGGAATTTGCTTTTGAAGCAATGCACACTTGAAGAGTTGAATCATGGAGATCTCCCCCTATATCTTGAAATTCATACATGCATTTGCCATATAATATGAAGAATTTGAAATGCATGATGAAATATGGTGCCTGAGGAGATTCAGCATGCGAGTAATAATATGAACGAGGAATAAGCATGCAAAATCAGAGCACAGTGCATCAAAGTATCAGAGCACCATCGGGTTTAAGATTACAACTCAATCCAATAAAAGTTTCAGAAGAACGAGAGTTGTAACTTAGCAAAAAAAACGCCCATATAATAGACCCGCTTGAAGACTAACTCAGATTTCTCCCCCTTTGTCATCGAATGACCAAAAGGATCGAAACTGAGGACTAACGCCCCTGAAGAATATCAAGTTGATGGAGGAGCGCCAGTGTTGCCGGGGTCGGTTGTCGTAGTAGGGCCTGCCGCAGTGTCGTCCAAGTCTTCATTTTCACCAGTGTCGCGCGATGAAGAATAGGAGCTGGCCACCAAGGAAGGAACCTTGACCTTCTTGAATTTCTTCGGTGGAGGTGCAGACCAGTCAAATTCTTCCTTGAGACCCATGTTCTTCAGATCTTCGGCGCGGTAGATATGAGATAGAACAACCCAAGTACGGTTGAAGGTTTCATGGAGGTAGTATTGGTTTTTCTTCACAGCATTGTGGGTTGAGGTCATGTTGTAAAGAATGGAACCAAACTGACGCCTGACCCATTTATGGTTGCGATCAACTTTCTGATGAAGACTGAGGAGTAACTCACGATCAGTCATCACCCTGGGTGCTGTGGCTTGAGGAATTTGCTTG